TAGCTTACAGCTCCTGAGGTTCCAGCAGGGCCCGAGGGTCCAGGGGGTCCGGGGGGGCCAGCGACGGTCACTGCTGTCAGAACAAACAAAACAAACATACTCAGTGTCCTGGAGCTAAGAAGCCACAAGGAAGCCACTCATAGTAATAACAATGCTGATCAATTCAACTGAAAAGCCGCCGCAGGCATTTTCGGTGGGTGTCTACCCCTGTGTTTAGATGTTTGGTTCTGTGTTTGTGTCCACAAATCCAGATGATGTGTCGTATAAAACATAAGATAAGATTTCCAAATCTCTTAAACTGATCTATCTTCGATCTGGTCTATGTTGTTTTCACATTGTTTGTTGTTTTTATTCTGTTGGCTGAGAAGGATCTACCTGAGCCGTATCGTGAGGGGGGTCCGGGAGGGCCAGGGGGGCCGGGTGGGCCAGCAGAACCGGGTCTGCCATAGCCCGGGATGCCAGGGGAGCCAGGAACCCCTGGACGACCTGGGGGGCCCACCACAGAAGCTCCCTGGGGCCCCTGAAACAACAGATATTAGAGATTAACCAGTGAGATTGAGAAGGGTACAAGAACATAGTTGGTGATATTTCATTCCTACATATGACCCTTTATGTCCCACCAGGAGGGACATTCTGAATTCATTCATTAATGTGTTTTTCAATCAAGTTTTCATCGGATGGGGTTTCCACGGAAACAAAACTTACCACTGCTCCTGGTCTCCCCATTTGCCCTGGAACTCCAGCCTCTCCCCTCTCGCCTTTAATGCCCTGGTCACCTCGGTTGCCCAGCTGGAACACACACACACATTTTTATATATTTATATATATATACACATGAAACACCGATCAGCAGGGAGGGCACCGTTTAGCTGAACAGATCATGACTCACCCCGCCTTTTCCGAGAAACAGTGAATCTGTGAAGAAATCACAAAGTAAACACAAAGGTTACTTACAAAGCTACTATGAATTATAGTAACAACATTAATTTGACAATACACGCCGCCAAGGAAGTGTAGAACTTACTGAATCTAGTGTAATACAAGAGCATTTATAAGAATGGTAACAGCTGTGTCTTCTCGTGTACAAATTACATTTCCATGTTCCCCTGTGATTGTTTTTAGATGTTAAACCCATCCCCATTGTTGTGATATATGCATTTTTAGTGTTTGGTATTTAGTATTTCAATGAATGCGTCAAATAATTGTGCTTGTTTTGTCTTCCTTTATCAGATCATGTAACATATAGCCATCCTTATTCCTTCAGACAGTAGGATTGCACTCTGGTCATTATACACCACGCCTATGTATACAATGGAATAGATAGAATAGAATACATTGATATGTATTGAATTGCATTGAACCGGAGCCGTCTGGTTTAGCCTGTAGGTGGAGAATGGTCTTAAAGATGGGACTCACTCTGTGAAGCAGCAGACCAACCAGGGAGACCCTGTTGACCTCTATCTCCCTTCTCTCCCTTTGGACAGTTTCCTGAAGGTCAACAAAGAAATACTTAATTTAGTCTCATGACGCATGTGAAGAGATGTATGTTATTAGTAGTCTGACTAACTGAATAGATTGTATTGTAACCATCTTGACCAGAGATTAACTGAAAACCTCATTGACCCATTTTCAATGTTAATTTTAATCAAAATGAAAATGACATACACTGACAAATAGGAGAAACACAAAATAGGAGAAAACTAATTATCATTTGATTATTACTTGTAATTATATGTATATAATTACTTGTATTATGATGATGATTTCTACCTACCATTTGAAGGACTCCCGTCAGCGGTCAGCTACACGAATGAAAGGAAAAAAAGCAAATAAATGTATTACTTCATAAAGAAAAGTGATGGCACAGATCGTTATGAGGATTACATGGTGGAGAGACATGCGTTGAGAGAGAGAGAGAGAGAGAGAGAGAGAGCAGGAGTGCCTCTGCTCTAGTCAGGCAGCTTGTCTTCAGTTGGCCTGACACCACAAGTATGGTACAGTGAAAGAGAGGTACTCGCTCCGATACAAACAGTTAGTCACCATGCGGGTTAACAGTGGACAGAAAAAGAGGGGGGTGATGTCCAATATGAGAGTATGAATGCATGAATGAATGAATGAGACTTTTCCTCTTCACAAACAAGTGGAAAAGTACTAGGATTAAGATGGTGTACCCAACATATCAAACCGTATAGCCATTGAACAACATTGTTTTTTCACGATTTTTTTATCCACACAGTTTGATTTCTCAGAGTTTGATACATTTGGTCTGAATCTAGAAGAAAAAAAAATAGTGAGCATTCAAAGTTACAGATTGGTCCGTGCTACAGACAGATACTGCTGAATCATCACACACATTCGTCAGGAAGAACATCATCGGCGTGGAGGACCAAAACGCACGTTCCTCGGACATACGGATCGGGAATTATGGGTTAGGGTTTATGGATTATCCATGCAGGGACACAGGGCTCTACATGAGGGTGCACAGAGGGGAGGTGCACCACAAGACCGCTTGTTGTTAGTTCATGGTGAGTGCTGTGAAATGAAACGATTGATGGCAACTTATCCACGCTGAGGCACATGACCTACCGAGTTCTTGCAGCGGGGTCTGGGGGGGATGGGGAACACTGTCTTTAGAGGACAGAGGAGGAAGAGGAGAGCGTGAGCGGGCTAGTTTGTGTGTGTGTATGTGTGTGTGTGTGTGTGTGTTTGTGTGTGGTGTCTTAGGAAAATGACACCAAGAATAAAATTAGACATACAGACACATACTTATACTGTGTGTGTGTGTTTGTGTATGTATGTGTGTGTGTGTGTGTGTGTGTGTGTATGTGTGTGTGTGTGTATGTGTGTGTGTGTGTGTGGGTGTGCATACTCCTTTGGGGCAGTTGAACATGCCAGGGCGGCCTGGGGGTCCGGGGGGGCCAGGAGGACCCTGATGGAAAAAGAAGAGAATCAGGGGTCGACCTCATCCACCATTTTGAGATAGCATTAGTCTATTGTAACAACTTCTTCAAAACCAGATCATCAATTTGTGAACATTTTAATATTTATTTACAAACTTCTGTGTATTTTTGACTCACCGGCAGACTGTGGGAGTTCCCACTCTCTCCTTTAGGACCGGATACACCTGGACGGCCCTGGGTAACAATACAAAGTATAATTTGAGATGAAATCAGAATTGAATCTACATTTCGTTTAATATCCCTCTCAAGTCCCTCTCAAGTCAACGGCGATAGAAACAGTTACAAATTAACAATTACGTGGAGAAGGATCTATAGGACAAAACAGTCCTTTCTTTCTTGAATTTTTCACCCTGAATAGTTTACGGCCTAGTCATATTTCCTGGGTATGTTTATATTTACCGGACGACCGGGGAATCCCAGCTCTCCCTTCGGCCCCACCGGCCCCACTGGCCCCTGTTGTGTCAGAGAGGGAATGTGTTACCAGTAACATAACAGTTGTTGGCTTCGACAACTGAAAAACTGTGTGGTTACCATGAGAACCGGCGCGGGGACTTACCGCAACTCCCTGCACTCCAGGGAAACCCTGGTCTCCCTGGGAAATAACACAGCACACTGACACAGTCACTAACAACAACACACTTGTTTTGGAGGATAGAAGCAACGTAATAACATGGGGTGGTTTTGTAGCTACCGGTGATGAAAGAAAATGCAATCGATTTACTTGCTCGTTTCTCTCAAAATTACACACAGAGTCTAGCAAGCATTGTGACCAAAGGTGTCGGTCAAAATGAGTGGACATATATATCGATGTACTGGTATAAACGGCGGTTTCTGATTGGTCGCATTGTCTCACCTTAATTCCCTGGGGTCCGATTGGCCCCCCAAGGTCCGACATCATAGAGCCATCGGCCATGATGACGACACCTGCTTCACCTTTCTCTCCCTGCATAGACACACACAAAGCATGCACATACACACAAATATCCATAATTCTGGACAAATTCTGTTTCTGAGTGAATTATCCATGTGTACGCTAAAAACCTTTAATCAATTCCTTAATGATAAATCAACAAACTAAATGAATATGTAATACTAATGCCCGAATAACAGTTAAGAAGTCAAGTCATGTTCAGCAACAAGATAACCAAGACAAGAGACTGAAAATAGCCCAAAATGGCCGCTGCCTAGATCCGCTACAGTGAGTCAATGCACGAGGTAGTAGCGGCACTGTCTTGAATTATTTCTCCACAACAAGATATATTCACCTTGAGCTAAGGTGACCAGATTTCTGAAATGAAAAACGGGGACATTTGTAGTTTGTCGGTTCACGTATCAACAAAATATCTGATGTTATTATGAAATAGAAAAAGGGGACATTTACATGTTGCCTATTTTTAGAACGGTTAATGTAGTGCTGTAGTAAAATATTGGGCAGTACATGGTTTACTATGATGTGTTTTAAGCTTTGGTAAACATTCGATATTGTATTGATATTGTACACTGGTCATGCCTCGAGACCCCTGTCTCGAGTGAGGTCGTGTCACAGCCTATCAGACTAATTACCCACTGTCTTGAAATTAATATCCATGAGAAAGCTAGAACCTTTGCCATATAAAAAAGTATAAAAAAGTATTTTAAAAAAATGGGACAGATCCAGCCAGGAAAAGGGAACGCCTAGTCACCCTACCTTGAGCCCCGCTGGTCCCTGAACACCCGGCAATCCAATATCTCCCTTGGGGCCCCTGGGAGCCTGTGAACAATGAGATGGACAATATGACAATCACGCTAATCGCACATCTGACCTTAGCCTCAACCTCATAGGACAGGTGTTACAATGGCTGAAGATACAAAAGCAGCTATATTTTGAGCTAGGAAACAGTTATTGTAACATTATTACAATGATGTTTGTTTGTTTGTTTTTTTGTCATTTAGACGAGGCAATCTGACTGAATATCCAAAGTGACATTTTTTGAAGACACGTGTGATTCAGGAACAGGTATGGGTTAAGGGTATCATGCTCAAGGATGTCTACAGGTAGACTGCAGGCATTGGGGTTCGAACCCAGAAACTTTCATCTGGGAGTCCGCACCTTAACCATTAGACTAATCCTGCCCCTCTGTTACTTTGGGTACACCTGGCGATAGTATGCAACAGCAGCTGGGTTCATGTTGTTCTGTGTCTTAGTCGAACCCCCGAACAGCCGGTTACCTGAAGCTCCAGCATCCCTGAGAAGTTGTACGCTCCATCCGTGTCGTTGAGTATCAGCTGGACAGGAAACAGGAAGTAGAGCCATTAGTTAGTACAATACATTTCTATTACTGTTGTTGATACTGCTGATGACTTGCTTGTAATACAGATGTAGATTTTCCGCATTATATTTTTGACTTTATGCATTATTCAATGTTGCGTTGCTATTATTTCACATTTGACCAACATCATTTTCACTCCAAAGTGGTCAACACATGATGAGCATTCAGTATCTGCGTTGCCAGTGTTGCCAGCGTTGCCAATGTATTCCTATGGAGTTGATTGTTGTAGCCCAACCTAGCATTGATGCCACCTGGCTGGAGCAGACCGCTCAGATTCTCCACTTAGTTAAAGTTAAAACAATTTTAACTTTGACCCTTCTACCTGGGTTGAGGTGGTCAGAGGTCACTTACATCCTGGAAGTTTATGATTGGTCCAGGAGGTCCGGGGGGCCCTGGGGGGCCGGGTAGACTGAGTCCATCTCTTCCTGATTCTCCCTGAAGAATAAGAACCATGTGAACGATTGGTTTGGTCTTCTGCATCTTGTGATATTGACAGTCTGTGTCACTATCTTATGTGCTTATTTTACGTGTGTCCATAATATGAGAACAATTTTAGTCAACGATATGTGTGTATCTTACCTTTTGTCCGGCAACTCCTTTGTCCCCTTGGTGTCCCTGTGGACGACACGTGATTAAGGAGACCAAACACCATTCAACTATTGGCTGTATTTTACTTCTCTAATGTTTCAGTGAACTAGAAAGTGGTGACATTCGATACACAATAAAAGCCTCAGTCCTGATCAGGGCTGGACTGGCAGACCGATCGACTTTTCGTCCCAGTCCAGCCCTGGTCCTGATTGATATGTTATTCTATTGTATGTCAGAGGACACCCTGTGCTAGTATTTGAAAAATACTTTATGCTCATCAGGGTCCACACCCAAACCCCAAAAGAAAATCTGAAAATCCATCTGACCTTATCTCCATGTAGTCCATATGCGCCTGGCTGCCCGGGAGCTCCTTGTGCCCCTATCTCCCCCTAGAGGTCAGAGGAAGACATTACCATGTTTTATCACTTCCTTAGGCTGAATAAATCCACTCGAATTAGATTTAAAACATTAAAATAAGGAGTACAGTTGGTTAAATAGTATACATGGATTCAGGTCAATGGAGAACTGGATTTTACACAAATAATGCATTTCTGATTTGCTAGTTTTGATTGTATGTTAGAGATTGTTGTTAAGAGTCAAATCCATTTAAATCTAAAATACACTAGTTCAAGTATTGCTAAGAAATATGATCCAGGTTTTTCTTTGTTGATCCTAAAGTACAGAGACTGACCTGTGGTCCTGTGTTCCCTGGAAGTCCATCCAACCCGTCATCACCCTGGTAAAGAAACAAACAAACAGACAAACAAATAAATAAATAAAATATAGATAAATAAATGACATTTGAATGACATTTGAAACACACACACTCCTACCTTAGGTCCTGGAAGTCCAGGGATCCCAGGAGGTCCCTGGGAGAATACAATACATGTAATCAGCAATAATGTGTTTAATTCAAGTAGTACTCTGTACAATTGTTAGGTCTCTTGTTACCTGAGGGCCTTTGGGTAGAAAAGCACCGAAGCCACTTGACTTTCCAGATCCTTCCAGATCCTACCAACGGAAACATCGGTTTGCAAGTAAGCAATTATTAAGATGCGTTCTGTTTCCCAAAAATAAGAAAATATGAAAACATCGCCTTCGATCTCGTGTCTCTTCAACACAGCAACAGCACATTCTATTTCTATTCCAATGGTGACACAAAATAGCTAACCTTGTGTTATTTAACTTTTAACAGTAACCCTTTAAGAACTAACAGCATATGTGCTTACTGCATTTTAAGTGCCTTAAGTATTTTCTGACAGAAGACATATCTTATATTATATTATTTTTATTTTCCATTCACACATTATAAGTAGCTTAGTATGGGCCTTATTCAACCCAACGGCCATCTTGGTTCTAAATGCTACCACTAACCACCCAGCTAGCATTTAGAGCCAAGATGGAACCAAGATGGCCACTAGGGGAATAAGTAAGGGATAATGCCCGACAAGGTGTCCATTAACAGAAATTAATGGACGACGCGGAGGCGTGAATCGGCGGTTGCTTCCGCGAAATCCATTCATTTCTGTTAATGGACACCTCGAAGGGCATTATCCCGCTTATACCATGGTCACTTACGAAAGAAAGAAATATTTAATCCATTAATAATACTTTAATGTGTTTTAGAGTTAAAATCGTGAGGGTTTTTTGTCGAGCTGACTATTTAATATCTCCCGTATGCAGGCGTTGCCAAGCAACGTGGCCATAGCGTCTTCATAGCGTCAACGTCTTTCCTAGGTGTACATTAACACTTTTTAACCTACACCCTCCAGCCAATCAGAATCGAGTATGCACCCAGACCATGGTATAAGCATAGACATATATACGTAGACGCCTCATGACGTGCTGGAACGTAACCCAGCGTCGCCGCCATATTGGTTGGGTCTCCTCACTCTAGTCTAGCATAGGAGTCAACGGGAGAGCAAGCTATGCCAGTATGTTGTGCAGCTTACGGTGCAGTATTGACACCAGATCGCGTGGGATTACCTTTCACAAGTAAGATTGAACAATAATTCTTATTATTTAAAAAAATAAAATAAAATAATTAATTTGTCCTGTATCATAACTAAATCTCTGCCGTTTGTAACAAACCAAACCGTGTGAAAATCCGGTAAAAATTTGGGGAGTTATGCTTATTGTTGTAGTTGGGGATACACCTTCCTCAGTAGAAATGAATGCACTGGGGGCGCACTGGGGACCCATCCAAGATGGCGGCCACGCTGATACGTCAGCTCCAACAGGCAGCGTCAGCCTATGAGGCGTCTACGTATATATGTCTATGGGTATAAGGCCCAATAAAGGAACGGACATCACCTCCAGGTCCATGGTGAAGCCCCTGCCAGGGGGCCCGGGGGGGCCAGGCCTTCCTTCAGATCCATCCGGCCCTGGCAGACCTGGGAAACCATCCCGACCAGGGTCACCCTGAAAGAGAGAGAGAGAGAGAGAGATGGCAGATATGCTTACCGTGTGATGGCGTAGCAACATCAATGCATTAATTATTGTAGCATCCATTATGCAGCGTACATAATGGATGCTAATCTAATCCAATCAGCATTGATAATTATAATCAGGTTTATAGGAGTGTATTGATCAGGCCTTACCTTGGGCCCCGATGTCCCAATCATACCAGCCTCTCCCTGTTAATGAAGCAGACAGAGAAACAGCACAAAATCATTTAACAAATACTCAATTACTACATCAAGTTCAAATAGTAAAACCTCAAAACAAATTAACAATAGCATCTGACTGAAATGGATGGATGAATGCAGCGCAAACATGAAGCCACTATTAAAAGATAAGATGTACTCATAATAATAAACATCAATATTGTTGCCATGGTAACAACACAGCCTGCACTGCTCACCTTGTCTCCCTTCGTCCCTGCAGGTCCCGGATTGCCGTCTTTCCCATCAGCGCCCTGTAACGTTCACGGGGGACATTTTGACGTTGCCATGTATTTTCAGTCCTCACCTGACATGGGTTCATTTCATTTTTTTCCCAGCAGTCTTTGCATTATGAGCTGCACAGTACCTTCAAGAACTTTGTCAATCAAATTGATTTTTAGTTGTATGTCTCCTTGGATAACAATGTGCTGAAATGTGACACCATGTTCTCTACGCGGATACAAATCACTACACAAAGTTCTTGAACGCCTCTCAAATATATTTATAGTTTATAAAATGACCAAAATGTCCCCTCTGGGATAAATGAAATATTATCTTAACAGCAAAACTGCAAAAATGTATTCAAATATTATAGGTAGGATGCCACACTCTCATTCATATAATTAGTAAAATCTAGAAAACAAAACACTGAAAAGACACATTTTCCCCAACGGATGCTGCTGACAGCTGACCATGTTTTGAAGCTTTTCCATTAGTTTCTGCCACAACGCTGTTAGCTTACTTAGCTAGGCTAATGTTAGCCATAACCCTGTTGGTTAAATGTATGTAGCACGTACGCTTATAAAACACGCACGCACGCACGCACGCACACACACACACACACACACACACACACACACACACACACACACACACACACACACACACACACACACACACACACACACACACACACACACACACACCTCTTTAGACTGTGCAGCAAGCTGTAGCAAACAGGCAGAAATTCAACATGGTGTCACTTAAAAGAAAACGGGGGGAAAATTCTGCCTTTTAGGTCCCTTGGATGTCATGGGACCAGATCATAATACCTGTCCAGAATCAAGGTCAGACCCAGACCCAGAACCACCAGACCCAGACCCAGAACGACCAGACCCAGAACGACCAGACCCAAAACCACTTAACCACTCCTCAATAATCTGAAAACAAAGACACATGAGAACGGCTAACATCCTCAACATCTAGTAAGGATGTAGATGGACATATTTATCTAATTGATAGATAAAGTAAATATATATATATATATATATATATATATATATATATATATATATATATATATATTAATTAGAGATGGGCATAGATTAATTTCTTTAATGTAGATTAATCTAATTGTAATCTTGAAATTAATCTAGGTTAATCTAGATTAAAGTGGCTCATTTGAATGCTGTCAGGAGGCGTGCATAATATGTTTGTGCTACCTAAATAATGACTTACAATACCTAAATAACGACTGAGCATAGGTCTGCGTGATTGTTAAGCGGGGGGGGGGGGTGCTACCGGAGGGGTTCAGTTGCGCGATTGTTGACGG